GGCCGTGAAATCCATCACTATTTTCACGTCAGTTATTCTCAGATAGTATGGGATCAAACAGTGGCATAACTTCCCACGGTCGGTTTAACCACTCCTTCCCTTAATTCCAGGACCTGCGCTTGATAACAATCTTCGCAGGGCTAAAACAATGTCTATGAGTCTACTCCATGTTGGAACAAAAATATATACACTCACATCTCCCTTCGCTCCTGTTACAGTAACGGCCGACCGCTAAAGGCTACCAGTGACCGGGTTTGTTCGCTTAAGGGAAACTCGTTGAGCTCCCAGTATTGCTCCTCCGTCACTCCCCGGACCATACTTGATCCCTCCGAACCTGGAGCGACTACCTCCATCAATCTCATGTACCGCCAGGCCGTCCTTAAGTTCTTCCAGTATGCCTTCGGCATAATATCCGACAAAGGATCTCCCTGAAGAGCGCGAGATATAGCCCCCCCGGACCTGAACGAATGCAACGATAATCCCTGTTTCTGCCCGGCTGCTTGCGCGTACTTCTTCACAGCAGTAACCATCTTTGGTGCCGTACCGGGCAAAGGAGCCCTCGACGGCATTCCGTTACGCCCTGCTGAGATGTCTGAAAACAGATATCCCTGTGTCATGTCCCAGCCGACTCCTTGCCCAAACTCTACCAGCTGTGTTCATGCTCGAACAGGGCATATCGCCACGTACTCATCGTCGAAGGGTATACTCAGCATATGATCCGCCCCGTCATGCTGGGTCTTCCCTCATGGGAAGTTGAACATGAGTCCGCTTCTATTCGGCAGGCGCAAGATACGTTGGATAAGTGTCGCTGTAAGCTCATTGCCACGCCTAGTAGTACTAAAAGCTACTGTGAAGCAGGCGATGTCTCTAGCCAACATGATTCGTTCCAGTTTTGCGGCGGTGTTTTGGAGCGTCACCCTCAAATGCCTCAATATTGCGTCTAAATGGCTGCGAAGGATCGCCGGCGCCTGCTTAACCCCTTTACGACGCACAGGAAAATCGCAGCTCAGAAAATATCATAAAATGTAAAAAAGAAGAAGAAAAAGAACACGCCTGCTGATTGGATGATGATGGGCGGTCCCTGACCTGCACACATGGAGAAACCAGCGCCCGAAGCGTCCCCACCTGAGCCGTCTCTATTCTAAAAGCCCTATCAAATGGCCCCTGAAATCCGATCTAAGCGAGGGGCCATTTGATAGGGCTTTTAGAATACAACTGGAAAGCGCGCCGTAAACGGAGCACAATTTTCAAGATATTGCCGTAGAGAGAAAAGGAGACCCCAGCGTTCAAGCTCCAGGATGCCTGGGTGCCCCTTTCATCGGTGGGTGGAGTGCTTGTTCGAGTTAGGCCCTGGTAGCGCTTTTTGCCCAGTATGACGCGGCGCCACTTCGCTGTTGAACCTGAGCAGCAGCAGCAGCAGGGCCAACCTGTCAGCGCTCCGCCACAGCAGTTTCCCCGTCTACTACCCGCGTCCATGCCACCCTAGGCGATGGCGGTCAACGCATACCCCGATACTCCCCTCGTGGAGGGCTTCAGAGGGGGGGACACCCTGGCAATTTTGCGCCAGATGAAGGAGGTGCATGACAGCCATCCTGGGCGCGTACGAGAATTTGTGCTCGATGCCGCCGTGGCAGTAGGAGCGGGCTCATGCCTGCACGACGATCTGCCAAAGGCTCTACCAAGAGGGTTGACACGCGATCAGGGTGTCGAAGCTGCGAAGGAGCACTCTGGGCTCTGTGGATTCTATCTGGCTGGGGTTAGTTACGACGACGTGGTCGCTACTGTGGAGGGTCGTGGCGTGAGCGTCACCTTCAACGTTTTTCGCAGCCAGGGTACGTGCTGAAGTACTGCTGTAGGACATGAGTAAAGCAGGTCTACTGCCCCGTTCTGCTTGTAGGCTTTTGGTTTAGGTTGTCAAATGTAGACATGCCCTCGGTGTCCGTAGCAGGCGTGCCCGTTTCTGGCGAGGCTGATGACCCAACCGTGGAAGCGTGTACCATTCGTTTATTGAAGCCCTACAGCAGTGGGACGGTGGCGCTCGTCACACCCAACACTACTGCTGTTTCTTATCTACTTCTACGTATCTCGTTGCCTCGACATTCAGCCGACTACACTGACTGCTGTACGCCCTCCCTTCGATTTACGGCTGTTGCATGTTTGTAGAACAATCAGTTCGGGCCCAGGATACAGCTTGGGTCGAACGTGTTACACATCATAATTTGACACGACGTTGCTTGGTGAATCATACTTTGCACCCGATCACACGAACAATCTTTCTGCTCTTCTCGTCCAAGAGCAGCGGCTACTCTTTTGGTTTTCTTGGAGGGGCCATCCTGCCCTGTTCTTGCGATATGATGGGTTGGACCACGTGTGCTGACATGTGGATGGAGAGGGTATGGTGCAAACTGACTTCTCTCACGTGCCTGTTTCTCCTTCCTCGCACGCACTCATGCCCACACAGTGTTGCTTCGACGCCGCCAAAAAGCTTCGTGCGGATGGCATGGGCGTCCAACTCGCTCGGAAGGAGTGTTTCACTCAAGCGTTCA